CTTGTTGAACTGGGTCTTCCGATTCAGGACTTGGAATTTCCTTTTTCGCCGTGACCCCCACTTTTCGTCTTGAACAAGTCGTCATCGGGAAAGTCGCCATCGAGTCTCCTCTGTTGGCGTGTGCCTACTGCCGCCGTCGTCCGTACTTCTGTTGACCTGGGTTCGTGCGTATCCGTCTGCAAACACCTTAACAATGCTCGTATCTGACAGCAAGCTTCCTACGAGTATGTCCGCATTTGCATAGTACCACGTATCCCATCAACTACGGGTTCGCGGGGTAGCCTGCCTCGTCTCGTCGAGAGATGTCCGCGCTTACCGGGTCCAACGAACAATTACATAATATCAATTACATACATTGATCCTATGGCCCACGCAGGGGTCGTACATGAATGATCTAGTAAAGCATTTAAACTATGCGGTGTCCCACCGCGCGAATAAATTATTACAAACATTCACCAACCCAAACATCCTCGACATGTCCGAGGCTTTTAAAACGACATACATGAATTAAAAAAACAAACATACATGCGGGCCATAATAGTCGGATTTAAGAATACCTGCAAACACACTTATTTGCAATTCTAATCTATTATGCGCTGCGTCTGTACACAATTAATTCACATATATCACGCAAGCCCTAATTCGAATAGTGCACAAAATCGCATTAGCCTGGGCTCTGATACCAGTTCTTGGGTTCTATTAGGAACGTCGACAATGTGCACATTCAAATCTATTGAATAATAAATCCTAACGCAGCGGAATCTATGGTTAGGATTAGGACTTACGGTTTTAAAATTTTTGCCGACTCTGAGACGTTTCTGATTTCCGTTGATGGAGATCGTCTGAACACCAAAGTCTAATGGGCGGCTAGACTTGGCCTTTCTCGATTCTAATCGAGTCACCATGGTGCTCGAATCGCTCATCAAGCTCATCGGATCGTCTTGGACCTTAGGTAGGTGAATCGGACTCCTCGGACCGCTCCGGAACCATCTTGGACTCGAATCGGGGTTTCTGGACCAAGTTGAATCGGCTTGGACCTTGCTGACCACGTCTGGACTGGTCTGGACCGCTCTGGTATGTTGTTGGACCGTTCTGAAGCTTCCTGGACCGCCTGGTAGCTGCTGGACTGCTAGACCGTGCGCTGGGCCGCTTGGAGTGCATCTAGGCCGCGCACAAAAACATTGGGCCAAGGAAACTCGCTGCAGAACTGGGCCTTCACGCGGGCTGTGACTGGGCTTCTCGCGGGCTGAGATGTGAGGGCAGCGCGGGCCTGGTGCGGGTTTAGACGCGGGCTGGACTCAGAGGGAAGCGCGGGCCGTATGCGGGCCAGAAAGCCCGCGCGCTGGAACCAAAAAAAAATTATCCTATTTCCGCAAGGAGAAGGATCGATCCCGCGACGTCGCATGGAGAAGACAACGCCGCACGCCATCGCGCTACACATGGTGTTGCGTTAATTCAACGCTTTCCTTCAACAAAGTACGAACAGATCTGGGAATATATTTATTCGACGGGATACGAACAACAACCTTTGTATCTTCTATTGTATGACCTTTACACGATCTCTAATAAATCTTGGTGGAGCAATTTATTAGATTTCCCAAAATCTCTTGATCATCTTCTTCTAAGACCTTACGGTGCT